TTCCTCAGTGGAACAGGCTTCCTCGGGAGGCGGTGGGCTCTCCTCCTTTGGAGGTTTTCAAACAGAGGCTAGATGGCCCCATCTGGCAGCTGGGCTGATCCTGTGAACTTAGGCAGATCACCAGAAGGGGGGGGGGCAGGAAGGGTTGCATCAGTGCGCTTTATTCTGGTGGCCCTTTCTGACACACCCAAAGAAATGCTGATCACCACTTTGGGGTCAGGAAGCCATTTTCTCCAGGTCAGTTTGGCCAGGGATCCTGGAGGTTTTCTGTCATCATCTGGGCGTGGAGCAGGAGTCACTGGGGGTGTGTGGGGAGATAGTTCCTGCATTGTGCAGGGGGTTGGACTAGATGACCCTGGAGGACCCCCTCCAGCTCTATGGTTCTAGCTGTGTGTCCACCAGAAATCTGCTGTGCGAGAGTAAAGTTGGCATTGGCAGCAAAAGTCCAACATTTTGAAGCTCTCAGGTGAAGTCCACTGAGAGAGCTGGTCTAGGGTGGTGACCAAGAGGCCAAGCTGCCACTCTCCGGTTGGAGTCTTCTTGGGGCCATGGACTCCTCCTCCTCTCAGCCTCCCACATGCCACGTGTGTGTGTTTTACATCATCCCGCACCCTTTTCCCTAACGGGGACCCAAAGCGGCTGACATCATTCTCCTCTCCACCATTTCGTCCTCACAACAACCCTGTGGGGTATTTTGGACTGAGATCATGTGACTGGCCCAAGGTCACCCAGCCAGCTTCCACATTACAGAGTGGTGATTTGAACCTGGGTCTCCCAGTTCCTAGTTTGACCCTCCGACCACCACACCAGACAGCTTTGCATCAGTGGAGACAACAAATATGAAATGAACACTGACCTGTCTGGTGGACAGGATTGTGCCAAGAGAGACCATATAAAGCAATATGAATATGCAGAAGGACCTGCATAAAGATGTGGTAGTCGCACTGACGTGAAGAAGAGAGGCGAGCACTTCGTGCCGTGTCCATAGGTAGATGCAACACCTGATACAAGCTCAGCAAGGCTGGAACGGGACTAATCCAGATTTCCAGTCACGATTTAAGGACCAGCAGAAGTGAGGATCTTTCAGATTTTAGTTTCTCTGTGAACAAAAGTGGTGAAACACGATTTAAGGACCAGCAGAAGTGAGGATCTTTCAGGTTTTAGTTTCTCTGTGAACTAAAGTGGTGAAACACTTAACAAGTAATTTATTAGCATGGAACAAAGTTTGAGTCCAGTGGCACCTTTAAGACCAACAAAGTTTAATTCTGTGTGCGTGCACTCTTCTTCAGATATCTGTGTGCATGCACACAAAAGCTCAGTACATAGTGGGTTTGGGCCTTCCACAAGAAGTATCCCCACAAACCTAGAGGCTGAGGGGAGGCTTGGGGTGTGAGA